ATGATTAAATCATGTCTCCCTAAAAAAATGATTACATTCACTCACAGAGTTGGTACAAAAACCTTTTTATATCATGCTATTTCATACAAAATAGCCCATATCAAGGTACAAAACATTGTAAGGTTATGAAAAGCCATCACACACCAAGAAAATGAAGCACCAGAGTTTGACAATCATAATTCATAAATAGAAACCTTGTTGGATTAAATGATATCATCCCTAAGAATTTGTAGGAGTGGTGATGTTTAGTTGCCAAGAGGATCAGTCTTTAACTCATATACACAATATGCAGCTTTTCTAAGAAAATTCAGGGTAAAATAAAATAAGTTTGGTAATTTTTACCGCAAATGAACTTTTCTGAACTAGACTGCCAGGTGGAGGAATTGATGCATGCAATGGAACCATTGTCCTTGCACGTGGCGCTGTGTTTGCCAAATACGTAGAACTCATGGGGCGCGAAAATGGAGAAAAATCTTTGCTACTGAGAGAGCCAAGTCTAGGGTCATCATATGCCCTTACTGTAGGTCTTCTCTGTAATTCATCCCCCCTCATGGGGGGTGAAGCGCCTCTAGAACTTAAAATCCCGTCTGGTGATTTGCGCCTTAAATGTTCCAATGTCCATGGTGAAAAAGAGGCTCTCGAGTCCACCAGAGGCGAATCCACATTTCTTGCAGAAGGAGTTTGTCGGACAATGTCTGCACTCCGAGGCTCAGACATATGATATCTAACATCCTTCGGTTCGGACATAAGCTGTCTAGAATCCCTTGGATCTGGCATTGGAGGTCTAAGCTGTCTGCTTTCAGGCATGTGCTGCCTACCATCCCTACCTTCAATTATACGTTGTCTACTATCCCGTGGGTCTATATAATGAAGCCTTGTATCCTTTGGTTCAGGCATATGTGGCCGTGTATTGATAGGTCCAGTTGAAGATTGTCCTGACCTTGAGAGCACATCACGCAGATCAACCGCATTCTGTTTTTCATGACTTTGCCTTCTGTTCAGCACACTTTTCCGCAATATTTTGAATCGAAGATCATCTTTATCAAGGCTAGCGTCTTTAACATATAAATTGCAACAACATTCAGAAATCTGCAGTCAGTACTAAGTATTGTAAAGCACTTGGACATAAGTTATTACCATCAACACCACTATAGGCACTACTGCTCCATCCACTGCCATCTCCCCGCTGACTGCCAAAGTTAATAACACGGTAACTTCATGTCTACATAGATTAGTACAACTGAATTGCTTAAACCGTTTCATTTCACTTTTGCCCATCATTTTTTTTCTATCAAGGAAATGCAATAGAGTTCAATTTTGCCTGAATCATACAACAAACGAATATTAACAAAAGTTGCATCCAGCATGACACATGTGTAAACTAACACAATGCCTACCAAATTACTACTTAAATGATAATTATGCTTCCGAACATGAACATCACATGCATGTCCTGAGCTACACTAGAAAGTACTTAGGGGGTAATTGGTCCTAGGCATTGGGTTCAAATAAGTAATGAGGTTGATAAGGTATGAGTTTAGGTCTGATGGATTAAATCGGGTGTTTGCTTTGACTTTGAAAACAACATTCTAATGTTATAAGACAACAAAGGAATAGAGCTCTAATGATTTTGAGTCATGTGTTTGAGCTTTGAAGCTATGAGAGAAACATAGAGTTCTTGGGAGTGGCTGTCAAACCAGAGAGGCTGGGCCGCTGGCGCTACGAGGAAATGGATTTGAGAAAGTATCGAGAATGGGTTTGAGGGATCTTTTTTTGAAACCAAACAAGAGATATGAGTTTGGATCCCACAAACCCAAACTCGATACCGGTACCGGAGAGAACCAAACAAAAGGCGTACTAGCATAAACACACATGATAAACACTAAACCGGAACATCTATCATACACACTCACATTCATCAAAAGAAAAGGATTAATCTTTTCGAATGTGATATACCGTTTACTGCTGAGCTGTGAAGAAGAGCCCCCAACAGCTCCCAGCCTATCTTTAACAGACCGCTTACTTCCAACTGATGGCTGCGAATCAGCAAATGAAAAATCTGTGGAAGCCGCTGCCTTCTTCACCACCTGTCCACAATGCATCAATTTCAGACAAGAACTCATAGCAAAAAACAAATCAAAATTCCCTCATTTCAGTTTATCTTTCGAAACTGAAGCGATTGAAGCTAAACATTTTACCTGACCCTTGCGACCTAAGGTTATCGTAACTCGTGACGGATGCTCCATTTGATCATCCGGTAGCTCAAAAACCCTACTTCGCAGATCAGACCTAAGCTCAAAATCCAAAGAAATCCGTATACGCCGTCGCAGGAGTGGCGGATGCTTGATACGGCCGGTGAATCGCTCGCCGCAGAAGAGAGAGAGATATCAGCAAGGCGGTGTCCTCCGAATGGGTTAAATGGTGGGAACACCACGCGCGCAGTTCTGTAGGCGCGTGAGCCGGAGGGTGGGGCTAGATGATGATGATGGGATTGCTCCGGCCCATTTCTTCTGGGCTGCTTTATACGGTAGGCCTGCCTCAATTGGGCTAATAGTAGAGCTCACAAAATGGGTCGACCATGTCGGTTCAGGTTCGGATTATATCGAGTTCGAATTGAGAATTGTATATTCATCACTTCATGACCAGAGTCATCGATTTCGAGTCAATCCAATAGATTATAAACTGTATATTTTGAATGTTTAGATACATACTTTCATATAAGCCATTACTATTAGGATATTTTGTTTTAAAATTTTAATTATGTTAAGATATATTAAACAATATTATGAATAATTTAAAAAATTTAATAATGTATCACTTTTGAAAAATGTAAGATAAGTATGTGAAGTCATTAAAAACTTGTTTGGGATTGTAAGTTTATAAATAAAAAATGAGTGATAAGAAAAAAAAGTGTAATATTATTTTAATAACATTATTTTTCATATATTAAAGTAAATTACTTTGGAAAAACTATTACGTTTGCAAGCAGGTCCGTCAGGACAAGTTCAGATTCCCAAACAATGTTTAAAATTTTAAATTGATCTGAAATAACTAAATTGTACTCCATAGTTTAAATGTGAAATATTGAATAGTACTGAACTACATTATTTAGTACTAAAATTAATTCCAACTGAATATTTTTTTAATTTGGCAAATACAATTCCCTAATTCTTGTTTGATTACATTTAAACTCTACATAAGTAGGAGTGTACGGAGTACCAACTAAAAAATATTATCAACATGAGAATAGGCTTTGAAATTTTGGAAGATTCATATAAAATTATAATTATTTTCTTAAAACTCTATTAAGTAGAAGGGTAACAGAATTGGATTTAATTGGCAATAATCCAATCACACAAAGATCATATCAAATTATATATTATTCTTATTAGACAGAAGATATTTTTATTGGAATCAGATCAGATCATATTTGAAACAACTTTAAAAATAACTATAATCAGATTAGTTCATATATAACTTATTTCAATCAAATCAGGTGAAGAGAACAAGCCCCTCCTTATTAGGGTGGTGAGACGTTACTCAGTAACTATTGTTGTAATTCAGACTTTTATGGTGTAACTTATTATGGCAGCAATCAGATTGTGTTTTGTATCACATCGAGGTGGTAAATTCTCTAATCTCACTAAACCGAATATCCAACTTAGTTATAGTTTCCATTTAACTTAGTTGAGCCGAGTTTAGATACTTTTTGCAAATCAAATTTGATCAAATTCAGATTAAATTGCACTCCTTCCGTCTCAATTTAAATCATCTGTTATTATTTATGAGATTTGACTGAAGTCGTCTTTAATTCAATTTAAAATTGATATGCAACTTAAAAATAAAATTCATATATTTAAAAACTATATCATAATAAATTAAAACTCGTATGAGAAGATAAACATTTTACATGTGAGCCTTAGAATTAAATGGCCATGACTCGATTTCATTATCCATGAAACCTAATAGCAAAACATATTTCTCAGTCTACCATACGTATAAGATTCCCGACAATAAAAAATCTAATGTTATCTTATTCAAAAAAAAAATATCTAATGTTATCCAATAGTGGAGTAGTACTCCCATGCCTTTGGCAAAATAACTCATTGTAAAAAGATGTTTAAATTGAAGAAAGTGACTCAGGTCGTTTTTTAAAACAATAATTGATTGGTTTTATTAAATCAATCCAGCTAATTTATTGTACATCGAATTAATTTACATTATCTGAAAGAGGCGATAGTGAAAACTCCAATACATACATACATATATATATATATATATATATATATATATATATATATATATATACACGGAGTATGAAGTATCACTTTTTTTTTATCACAACACAGTATGTGTCCACTTGAACAAATGTCATAATATGATACTCCGTATTAAAACACCATGATTATGTTGTCCTCAATTTATTTTTCTACTTATTATTTATTTTTATTAGAATCAGATTAAATCAGAAATAGATGTAAATAACTACATTCAAATCATACCAGATTAGATCAGAATTTATTTTAAACGAATCAGAACTAATCAGATCAGGTGAAGAGAACATGCATGACCTATGACAAAAACTCATTGCCCTTATTTTAATTAAACTAATGTTGTAGTTTTTAGAAACATTACTCAATATTTCAAGAACAAGGTTTCCGTGCACATTGGAGTATGGTGACATTCGAACCAGATCAAGTGAACAGAATGCTACCTTAAACATGAAGAGAAGTTGAGTCCAGAGAATGAATACAATGCTCTTTGAATTAGCATTCATTTAAAAGAGTGTTTTAGAGAATATCTGAAATGTTCTTTAATACTGTATCATAATTGAATGGTGAAAAACTGCACTATATAATTCAGCATTTTTCAAGTTAATTACTCCGTATAAATAGACATTTAATATAGGAACTCAATAATCTCATTCAATTAGGATAATTAAGTTGTAGTACAGATGCATTAAATTAAACTACTACCATTTATCCCATAAGGTATCCCTTAACATATGTATTGCTTCATTCATAACAAAATAAACTTTAATTTACATTTTATTCTTGGAGTGTCCTAAAACTTTAAAGTAAATTTCTCACAAAACATATATAGGAATCTTATAGTCTAAATGTAACCCTTGTGCATCCACACATTGATTTAGTTTGTAAGGCAAATTTCCCAAACCTTAATATCATAGTCCAAGCTGCCACTATAAACCATGTAGGATGAGGGGTTATTATGGTCAATATCTGCAGTCAAACATTTGACTGGACCCACATGTCCATCCAACACAACCAAACAATAATAACTCCTCCCCATCCCTCTCTTCCACACTCTAACACTCTTATCCGCTGACCCACTAAACACCACCTCTAACACCACTGCTATGCATAGAATCGCCTTAGTGTGTCCACGGAGTGCCCCGACGACCGCCATCCTCCCGTCGTCGTCTTTCTCCCAGACGATTATGGACCGGTCGCACGCCCCAGAGTAAAGAGTTGACCCGTCAGGGGTCAAAGCCAAGGCGTTGACCGCCGACATGTGTTTTTCCAGTGTTGCCCCCAGGTCGACCTTTCCGCCACCGTGGCACTGGGCCTTCCACGCCTTTATTGTCTTGTCGGCCGACCCAGTGTACACAACGCCATCGACAGAGACGACGATGGCGTTGATGGCGTCGTCGTGGGCATTCCGGACAGACTGAAGGCACTTAAAGTCGGCAGTTCGCCAGACTTTCAGTGTCCGGTCCCACGAGACGGAGTACAGGAAAGAGGCTTCTGTGGACATGGCTAAGGCCGATACGGTGTCCACGTGGTGCACCCACGTGCACCGCTTGTGCCGTCGAACCTCCATGTAGTCCTTTGGGTTAAAAAACTTAGCCAATCGGTCCTTCCATGTTGGCAAGGTCGCTATGCACTTGTAACACTTATTGTGAGTCAATTCGTTGTCCATTTTCCATATTCGAATCCTATTATAGAAAGATATATTAGAATTAAATCAATTAACACATACATAGACATTATTCTTTTGAGTTAGGAAAATTAATTCTAATTTTTTTCAACTTATTCTAGTTTCTTCCAATTCATTCCATTTTCTTCCAACAATGACTTAAAAATTGTATTTATATATATACACGACGAATATAAAATAACATTATATATCCAAATTTATAACATACTACATCAAACACAAACAATGACGAATTCTTTTTTATCCATAATTAGAGTTTTCTTACATATGTACTTGGGTGATTATTTAATTGAGTGACTTCTTGACATTGAAATTCTTCTAACATTTTCCAACACCTTTCAATTGTTTTCCAACTCCTAATTTTTTCCAACATTTAACCCTGAAATTTCAATCCAAAAGAACAAAATCATAGTCCATCAATGTAATGAGAGAAAAATGGGCAAATTAAAGGACATGCACATGCATATATACCACACTTGAAAGAACATTTTGGCATATCAAAAGTGGTCAGATCATTTCCCATACATGCTACCAAATAAAAGGGGAGCATATGATACAATATTTACTATTCAAGATATCACGATGAGTTTTATTTGCCTTTATTTTTTTATTAGGAATATTCATTTGACAAAATAAAATATTTTTGACATCACTTATTCTGTACAATTTTTCATGTAATTTTAAATTTGTAACTTTTATTTTTTTATTTCTATACAAATTTGTTAATAAAATGATTTAAAGAAAAGTGGACTTTGCACGTAAAAACAAAATAAGAATTGTTTTAAGAAATAGAGAGAGTATATTTGTGGGGAATTGAGGCGAAGAAATAATCCTCACACCCCATCTGTCTCATCACTAAATTTATTTTAAATTCAATTTATATAAACAATGGTACAAAATAAAATTTTAAAATAAAATTTACATATTTAAAAATTGTATTGAATGCATATAAAATAAAAAAATAATCACCTAATTAATGATCATGTTAATTATATTAACAAATGATTAATAAAATTATAAATTACTCTTCTGTGGTCCTAATATTAACATATCAAATGTGAACCTTTTCATACTTTTCATAGGTTGACAAGTAAATCCCTTTTATAAAGACTCAATTTTTTATGACATCAATGTACTAAGGTGCATGATATGAAATGAACATGCCGCCAAAGACAATAAGAATTTGTCTAAAAATAAATTTAAAAAAAAGTAAACAAATATTTTGACACATGTATACTATTTCCGTCCTTAATTTTTGGAAGGATGTAATAATTAATTGAAATATTTAAATGGAGAATAATTTAGTGCAAATTAATATGCACATAATACATACCTATGATCTTGGTGTGCACTAATGAGTTTATCACCCAAGGTAACTATACTCTTCACCGCACTTCCACTCCGACCCACTAAACGCGGTGCCGGACTAATATCACGGCCGCCGGAGATGACGGCGGCGATGTCGCCGTTGGAGGAGCCGATGTAGAGGTGTTTTCCGGCGAGGGAGAGGCAAAACACGTAGGAGTCGCCGCCCCTGATGGTGGCCAGGCAGCGGTGGGTGGCGGTGGAAGAGGAATGGTAGTTGGACGCCGGCGCGGCTGACGGCGGCGGCGTCAAGGAAGGGACGGAGGGTAAACTTGGTTGTGAATAAAGGGATGATTCTTCATTTGGATGGTGTCCCATTCTTTTTTATTCTTTGGTTTGTAGCATAGAAGAGAAGAGAAGAGAAGAGAGAAAGAATGGTTTGAAGTTCTATAACCCAAAGTGAAGAAATTTAAAAGGATGAGTTGTGCAACTTGGCTATCTCTATGAGTACACCAAAGTACATACTCCATGCATTTATACCTACTTTATTGTACATCCAACAAGTTTTATACTCATGGGTTTTAATGTTTTATTATTCCAATGTACTCTTTGTTATTTCTTTGCCAACAATTTTAAATTTTGATAATAAAAGAAATAAGAAATATATTGGAATATAATATAATTAAATTTAATATCAATAAACTCATTTTGAAATTAAGTTTTAAAATAGAGGAATTTACTTGAATAAGAGCAAGTTTTAGTGCTATTAAGTGCAAATATTTCTTTAAAATATCATATATTTATGATATATATTTATATATAAATTGAGTAAAATATTGAAAATATTGAAAATATACCAAAATAGAAGTTTCATATTTTTATTCTCAAAATAGGAGTTAAAATAATGCATTTACATTACCAATCATGATCTTATACATTACGTAAAATACACATGTACACTGCCACATTACCACATTGTGAATTTCTATTTAGGGAATTAAAATCATGATACTCTTATTTTGGTACTTTCTATATGTTTTAGTCCTATTTCAGGTGATTTCTTTAATACGATACCTACCTCACATTTTCTTTAAAAATGAAACGATGTTTTTTTTGGTTTTTTAACATACAAAAAAGGTGAGAATTTAATGACAAACAAATAATTTACTCTCTTCATCCCAGATTTGCTTTTATTTTGACTTTTTACGGCCGCCTATACAATATCTTGACCATTAATATCTCGATTTGTATATTGGCATATATTGTTAAAATATGATAATTAATAAACTCTATGTTTTAAAATAAATCTATTGATTTAATATGTACTACAATTTAATATATAATTTTTGCAATCTAAGATCAAATTTCTAAATTAAAAATTGACCATAAAAATCAAAATAAAAAATATAGAACATAGGAAGTATATTACTTATTAATCCCGTATATTGTTTGACAAAAATTACTGAATTTATTGTTGTCCTGGGCCAATTTTGACCTTCAAATAAAATAAAATATTTTTCTCTTTTTATTAGTACTGTATAATTTACATCCAATAAGAATGTATTTAACTCAACATTATATTACTGAAAAAGATAAATTTGCGCAATTGATTTTTTTCAAAAATTAAATGAGAATGGTTATTACATTATAAAAAGATAATTTGTCTTTAAAAGTTTTTATTTGAGCAAACTAAGAATGTTTTTATTAGTTCATGTAATTTATAGTCAAAGAAAAAACACAGGAAAATGCAGCTAGCTTGTGGTGGAAAGTGGGACCATGGTCTATTGTCATAGTGGCTGGACAAAAAGGGATTTCATAGGGAATAAATTATAAAAATAAAAAAGTCAGAGGAATTCATAAGAAATTGTTGGAGTTTATTTTGGATAAGATATTTCCTTAATATGGCCAACATGGCGTTAGGTGAGCTGCGAATCTGTATTTCTTCTTTATTTGTTCTAAATTTAAAAAGGAAAAGGAAATTATTTACGTTCTTCTAAAAGTAATTACTCTCTCCGTCCTTAGATTACAAATTGCGGATTCGAAGAAAAATTTTTTACTTTTTGAAATCATTTTACTTATAAATTGGTATATCAATAAGATATAAAAATTACATATTAAAAAAACTACGTCAAAAGTTCCACCAACCAAGAGGTGACAAGAATATTTTATTTTATCAAATACTTAATGAAATCGCGTAAAAATTGTATATTTTCAGAGACAGAAGTTAGACCATGTGTTATGCCGAATTTAATGTGGGTTTGATCAATCTTGACGAAGAGTAAGAGATATGACGTGGAGTGAAAAAAACATGTGTTGTGGTGCCATGCATAAGGCTTGAAGGAGGCGTCAAGGAGGTAGTGACGCCCTCTCTCACGCACGTTAACACATAGCATTATTAATAGATCATTAATCTAAAATTTACAATCATTTTTGTTGGGAAATAGATATGTGTCTCGATCTCTTTCCCTCGTTCACACAACCAAAAAACTCTTGTACATTCACACCACACCCAGTAATACAGAGGCCCAACTTCGTAAAACAACTTTAATTTGTACTCCATCTGTCCCTATTTTGATTACAATATTTCTTTTTCACATATTTTAGTACTCCGTATAATACGAGTAAACTCTACTAGGTACGACTACTCGATATTATATGGAGCTAGTACTCCATTTAGCTTTTATATGGGCTGATATGTACTTGAAGAACTATTTATGAATTTTTGAAATTAGAATATAATGACCGGTCGTGCATAACTCATAAAGTTGAAGGGTTATTTATGGACTTTTAGACTTAGAAATTACTTTTTTATTTTGTTGATGACCAAAATTCTTTTAAATATATAACTTAAAGGTCAACTTGAACCGATATGACGACACACTCATACCATCACACTATATAGTGATGCTATGTCGCAAGATGTTTATTTCATAGATTTTGGGATAGATTCTGCATGCATGGGGTCTAAAATCAATCCGGCCAAATTCGAAAAATCGACCATTAAAAAATGAAAATGATAAAGATACTCTCTCTGTTGATTTAGTAATCCAACTCAACTGAATAATTGTATACATGGGTGTTTATATAGGTGAGAATCTCTACATCAACTAGGATTCACCAAATATGGAAACTAACATAAATAACAATTCTACCATAACTACACTTCTTGCCATATATGCCTAACATCCCCCCTCAAGCTGAACGTCGTGAAACGAGAGGAAGCTTGGCAACCAGTGTGGAGTAGCGTGGTGAAGAGAGAGCCTTTGTGAGAAGATCCGCTAACTGCTCACTGGAAGGAACATAAGAGACTGTCATTTTTTCGGCAATTACCTGTTCGCGTACAAAGTGACAGTCGGTGCCGACATGCTTCATGCGTTTATGGAACACTGGATTTTTGGTTAGGCAGATGGTGGATTGGTTGTCGCAGAGTAGGTGTGGAGGAGGTAGCTTAATCTGCAAAATATCAAACAAATAGGTGATCCACATCACCTCTGCTGCTGCGGCCGAGAGGGCCCTGTACTCGGCCTCGGTGGATGAGCGAGAGACACGACTCTGTTTTTCCGTACTCCAAGAGATTAAATTATGCCCAAGATATATCAAATAACCTGTAACAGACCGTCCATCTGTCATATCATTGGCCCAGTC